TCCTTGGGCCGTCTTGGAGCCCTCTTCGGCGTCTCTTGGGGCTCTCTGGGGCCGTCTCTTTGGGTCCTCTTGGGAGGCCTTTTCAAGTCTTCTTGGGGCGTCTTGTAGGCCTCTGGAGCTGTTTGGGGGACAGCTTGGGCGTCGTGTACCGATTTTTTCGGCGACTCGGGGCCCTCTTGGACCGTCTGGGCGGCTTCCTGGTTTCGTACTGGCCCGTGTTGGGGCCCTCCTGGGCGAGCGGACCGTCCTGGAGTGAGCTGGAGCCTGGATTCCGCCGGAGGAATGGAATGGAAAGCTCCCCCGCCCCCATCCCTTACCCCGGCAGAGCCGCTTCGGCATCCACCTCCCAGCAGAGCTGAAGTTGAGGAACTGAAGCTCAGGCTGTATGTGATGGTCTTAGAAACTCACACGCCGGATCGACTGATTTTTTAGATGTTCGATTTCTTGCAGGTCTTCCTCCCTCCCGGGCCTGAATGGCGTCAGCCATGGCGTCAGCGCCCCCCCCCCCCGACAGAGCGAAGCTTGAGCGAGCTCCCCCCCCCTCCCCAATCCCGGGCCTGAATGGCGTCAGCATGGCGTCAGCACCTTCCCCGAGTCCCTCCTCCCGGGCCTGAATGGCGTCAGTCACGGCGTCAGCCCCCACCCCCTTCCCCTCCCCACTCCCGGGCCTGAATGGCGTCAGCCATGCCCCCCGCTTTCTCCCTCCCGGGCCTGAATGGCATCAGCCATGGCGTCAGCCCCCCCCCCCCCCCGACAGCGAAGCTTGAGCGAGCTCCCCCCCCTCCCCAATCCCGGGCCTCAATGGCGTCAGCCCCCCCCTCCCCCGAATCCCCCCTCCTGGGCCTGAATGGCGTCAGCTATGGCGTCAGCCCCCCCCCCCCCCCGACAGAGCGAAGCTTGAGCGAGCTCCACCCCCCTCCCCCCTCCCTGGGCCTGAATGGCGTCAGCCATGGCGTCAGCGCCCCCCTTCCCCCCCCCCGACTCCCTCCTCCCCCCCCCTCCCAGGCCTGAATGGCGTCAGCCATGGCGTCAGCCCCCCCCCCCCCCCGATTCCCTCTTCCGGGGCCTATGGCGTCAGCCTCGCGCCCCCCCCCCTTCCTCCTCCCGGGCCTGAATGGCGTCAGCTATGGCGTCAGCACCGCCGCCCCCCGACCGACAGAGCGAAGCTGGAGCGAGCTCCCCGCTCTCCTCCCCCTCCCCAGGCCTGAATGGCGTCAGCCATGGCGTCAGCCCCCCCCCCCCCCGAATCCCCCCTCCCGGGCCTGAATGGCGTCAGCCATTGCGTCAGGTCCCCCCCTTTGTGACTCCCTCCTCCCGGGCGTGAATCTCCCCCCCCCCACACATCCCCCTTCCTGGGCCTGAAGGGCGTCAGCTATGGCGTTACCCCCCCCCCGCCCTCCGACAGAGCGAAGCTTGAGCGAGCTTCCCCCCCCCCCCTCCCGGGCCAGAATGGCGTCAGCCATGGCGTCAGCCCCCCCCTCCTCCCGACTCCCTCCTCCTGGGCTCCCCTCCCGGGCCTGGGGCGGTAGGCCCCTGCTCAATACAATGGTGATCGAGGCTGGCGCAGGGGGTGGTTGGTGGCCGCGTGGTCGGGGCGTGCACGGTCAGCCCGCATAGGAAAGACGAGCATGTTCTTTAGGAGGAGGGCAAAGGGTGAAATATGAAATGTAGTTTCCATGGGTTCTCGCGATTTGAATCCGAAAAAGGTGAACCACAAGACGTGTTGATTTTCGAGGTGCAAAAGCCCATCTGGATGTCACCCCGAGCCTTCAACCCCAAGAAAATGCTCAGAGGAAGGATGAACGACCTTCCAATGTTACCTTTGCATCCTTTCCCTTCGGCCCATCCTTGGCCGCTTTCGCTGGCCGCGCCTGAATTGCAAAGGGTCGGCGTGGCCTTTCGAGGCTCTTGCATCCGTAGCGTGCGTCCTCACTCTACGGGTCGATTGTAGTTCAGGGGCAACGACTGGGGGGGATAGGCATACGGGGGGACGCATCGACCCCAAATCGCCCATTGATCACCCCATCCCGCCCAGGAGATGCGGTTTTGCCATCGGGGGCCTATCGCCGATCTATCGGCGAAGTATCGCCGATTCCAGGTCGATGCGTCGCCCCCCTATGCCAGTCCACCCCTGACGTTGCCCCTCATCGAGGCTGGATAAAGTGGGGGGGATGGTGCTCATATGGTCGGAGTGTGTAGCACAGATTCGATGGCGCGATCTCCTGGCCCTTTGCCCACCAAGATCCGTCACCACTACGGCCTCAAGGCGAAGCAGCTCCGCAACTACGCCAGGAAGGCCTACGCGTGGGGCCAGATGTTCCCGACGGATAACCTCGTTCAAAGGCTGGAGTCCCGCCTCGACAACTTTTTGTTTCGTTGCGGGGTCGGCCGGACAATGTTTGAGTGCCGCGCTACCATCCGCAAGGGACACATCCAGTACAAGCGCTCGTTCTGGAAGGACTATTCCACGAGGTCGGGAACGCTTATCGCTGACGTGCCAGAGGGACGCAAGCGTGAATGGAGGACGATTAACCTGAGCGGCCTCACGTTACAGCCTGGTGACAAGGTGCGCTTCAGGCCCCCCGACATGTCCGGTGGAGACACCAAGGTTCGCGATACTTCCATCAAGGTGGGAAAGTATCTGATGGAGAAGACAGGCAATGTCCAGATTCCGAGCCACCTCAAATGGGACCCCGAGAATTTAGAGGGCGAGTACTGCGACGTCTGCCATCATACCGAGGTTGGCATGCCCATCAACGAGATGATCCTTCACAATTGCTTCAGCGGCCAGACGCCGTATAAGGAGTTGAACGTCAAGCACAAGAGGTTCTACCCGGGCACCTCGCAGGAGATTCCGAAGTACTACAATGGTGGCAAGCCGCGTGATACTCCAGAGAATCTGAGGAACATGAAGATGGGTATGGGCTACAACCGTAGGGGCCGGTACCGCCCCCCTTGCCTGTGGGGCCGCACGCAGCCACTCAACAACCCCTACGAGTCGGACCAGACGGGCTTGGCACCAAAGAAGAAGTGGTTTTGAGCTCGGGGAGCCATGACAGAAGTCGTGGGCAGAGTCATCATCTAGAGTCAAAAACGCCGATTCGACCACCACGATTGTTATTATCACCTAATCAATCGTCACTTTCAATGCCGAGAAGGTTTCCGATGGCGCGTTGTCATTTAGAATCAGACCCGCCGCTGTCGCTGCCACTAGTTGTCTTCCTCCTCATTCTACTCACCGCCCCTGTCCTATACACTTCCCAATTCCAATCACCAGTTTCGTCGGCCGTCCTTGGAAATGGTCCACCTCAGGGTATGACCCCCGCCCTGCACGGAACGATATATGAGCCCGGAGGGCCGCCGAATATAATCAATTCCCGTCTGCGACTAAGCGGCCGAGAATCTCAGAAGTAACACTCGTAGAAGTAGCCGTAGCCGTAGCCGTAGACATAGAAGTAGTAGTAGTAGTAGTAGTAGTAGTAGTAGTAGTAGTAGTAGTAGTAGTCGTAGTCGTAGTAGTAGTAGTAGTAGTAGTAGTAGTAGTAGTAGTAGTAGTAGTAGTAGTAGTAGTAGTAGTAGTAGTAGTAGTAGTAGTAGTAGTAGTAGTCGTCGTAGTAGTAGTAGTAATAGTAGTAGTAGTCGTAGTAGTAGTAATATGATAAGTATTGGTGAGAGTAGCAATCATAGCAGTAGTCATCGTAAAAGAAGTACTAGTCGTAGTAGTAGCCGTAGTAGTCGTGTGATAGAAAACAATTGTAGTAGTAGTAGTAGTCGTAGTTGTAGTAGTAGTAGTAGTAGTAGTAGTACAAGTAGAAGTCTCTGTAGTAGTCGTGGTAGTAATAGTAGTCGTAGTAGTAGTAGTGGTCGTAGTAGTAGTAGTAGTAGTAGTAGCAGCAGTAGTCGTAGTAGTAGTAGTAGTAGTAGTAGTAGGTGTAGTAGTGGTAGTAGTAGGAGCAGTCGTAGTAGTCATAGAAGTAGTAATCGTAGTAACAACACTAGTGACAGCAATAATGACAGCAGTCGTAAGAAATAATGATAGGAGTAGCATGAGTTGAGGTAGCCGTGATATATATATATATACATGTGTATATATATATATTAGTATTACAAGTGCTCGTCGTACGACAAGACGTACTAATAGAGGTAGAGTGGTAGTCGTAGTAGGTCGTAATAGACGTGATCGTAGAAATAGTAATGGTAGTAGTAGTCGTAGTTGTTAGAAAAACAAAATTGGAAATACTATCCATAATGGAAGTAGTAGTAATCATAGAAGTAGTCGTAGTAGTAGTAGTGGTAGTAGTAGTAGTAGTAGTGGTAGTAGTAGTGGTAGTAGTCGTAGTAGTAGTAGTGGTAGTATTAGCCGTAGTAGCACTAGTAGTAGTAGTAGTAATCATGGAAAGAGTGGTAGACATAGCCGCTGTAGTAGTAATAACAACCGTAGTAGCGGTTGCAGTAGAAGTAGCAATAGTAGTAGTAGTAGTAGTAGTAGTAAAAGTAGTCGTCGTCGTCGTCGCAACAGTAACAGAAGCACGAATTGTAATACAAGGTAGGTAGGTGGTGGAGAAGGTGGGCAAGTATGTGTTGAGTTGAAGTCGTAACACATACTACTACTATTACTACTACTGCTACTACTACTACTACTACTACTACTGCCACTACTCCGACTAGCGAGTGTACTTGCGGCTAGTAGTTAGCAATAAGAAGTGACAAGCCGTTTTTTTATCGTGGTACTAATAGTAATCGCAGTCGTGGTTTGAAGCGCACAGAGAAACAATGATAGTAGTAATCGAAATAGTAGATGTAGAAATAAGAGGCAGTAGTAGTCGCCAAAAGTGTTGTTGTAGCAGTAGTCGTAGAAGTATCAGAGATCGGAGTCGTGATCGTAGTCGTGGAAATTGCCGCGGCAGCAAATGGAAACCATGATACTCGTAGTAGTAGTAGTAGTAGTAGTAGTAGTAGTAGTCGTAGTAGTAGTAGCAGTAGTAGTAGTAGTAGTAGTAATAGTAACAGTAATAGACGTCGGGGGTGTAGTGGTAGTGGTCGAGGCAGTGGTAGTGGTGGCAATTGTAGTCGTACAGGCGGTAAACATAACAATTGTAGGCGTAGCTGTAGTAGTTTTGGTAGCCGTAGCAATAGTCGTAGTAATAGTGATCGTAGTAGTAGTAGCAATCGTTGTAGTAGTCGTAGCCATCGTAGTGGTTGTTACCGTAATAGCGGTAGTAAGAGTACTGCTAGTAGTACGCCTACTACCAGTAGCAATAGCAGTAGTGGTGGTCTTGCTAGCAATAGAAATTGAAGTCGTAGCCGCAGCGCACGCAGTAAGAAACGTATCAATAGCGATAGTCGTCGTAGGAGCCGCACCAGTGGTGATCGAAAACGCAGCCAAAACAATCGCAATCGTAATCCTAGTATTGCTAGAAATAATAGTCGTCGTCGTTGTCGTCGCGGTAGTCGTCGGAGTAGTGGTCGTAGTAGTGGCAATACTATTAGCAATAGACGTAGCATTCGTACCTGTATTAATAGTAGCGGCAGTAGCCGTAGTAGTACCCGTAGTCGTATGAGTGGTAGTCGTATTAATCGTACAAGTAGCAATCGTACTCGTACTCGAAGTGGCAGTGTAGGTCGTAGTGATAGTCGCCGTCGCCGAAAATATACGATCATGAGTCTGAGTCGTCGTAGCACCAGAGGTCGTAGTAGCAGTAACAATATCATAGGCGATCGTACAAATGATAATATTAGTAACCGTAGTATAGTAGTAGTCGTAGTAGTAGTAGGCGTAGTAGTAGAAGTCGTATAGTAGTAACAAAAACGTGGTGATCTATACCGGTATAGATCACCGGGGGCCTTGGCTACCCTAGGCCCTACCCAAGGCCCTAGGCTTCCCAAGGGTAGGCCCTACCCAAGGCCCTAGGCTTCCCAAGGGTAGGCCCTACCCAAGGCCCTAGGCTTCCCAAGGGTAGGTAGGCCCTACCCAAGGGTAGGCCCCTAGGCTTCCCAAGGGGTAGCCCTAGGGGCCCTAGGCCCCAGGGGTAGCCGGCAGCATCCCTCCTCCCTCCTCCCTCCGCACGCCTCCTCCCTCCTCCCTCCTCACTCCGTCCGCCCGCCTCCTCCCTCCCCCCTGCTCCCGCCGCCTCCTCCTCCTCCGCCGCCACCTCCTCCTCCTCCTCCTCCTCCTCCTCCTCCACCTCCTCCTCCTCCCTCGCTACTCCCTCGATCCCCTGCTTCCCCCCCCCCCGCTCCCCCTTCCGAGGGCAGGGCGCCCGCGCCGCCCCCCGGCGACCGCGGCCCCGGCGCCGCAGACCCCCCCTCGCAGACCCCCCCTCTGGGACCCCCCCTCGCTGACCCCCCCTCGCAGACCCCCCCTCGCTGACCCCCCCTCGCTGACCCCCCCTCGCTGAACCCCCCCTCGCTGACCCCTCCTCTAGGACCCCCCCTCGCTGACCCCCCCTCTGGGACCCCCCCTCGCTGACCCCCCCTCTGGGACCCCCCTGACCCCCCCTCGCTGACCCCCCCTCGCTGACCCCCCCTCGCAGACCCCCCCTCGCTGACCCCCCCTCGCTGCTGACCCCCCCCGCTGACCCCCCCGCTGACCCCCCCTCGCTGACCCCCCTCGCTGACCCCCCCTCGCTGACCCCCCCTCGACCCCCCCTCTGGGACCCCCCCTCGCTGACCCCCCCTCACAGACCCCCCCTCACCGGTCTATCCTAGGGTTGATGCCTTTAGTCGGGCGGGCGGGCGGGACATTAAAGGCATTGATTGCTTGCTTGTGTGGTGGATTACCAATTGCTTCCCGTTGGTACCGGATTACGAGTAGATTCCATTTGTGGCGGATTACAAGCTGATTCCTTTTGTCGGGCGGGCGGGCGGGACATTAAAGGCATTGATTGCTTGTGTGGCGGATGGCAAACTGATTCTTATTGTGGCAGATTACACATTGATTCCTTTTGTCTGGCGGGCGGGCGGGACATTAAAGGCAATGATTGCTTGTTTGGTGAATTGCGAATGGATTCCCTTTGGCAGCGGATTTTCAACTTATTCCTTTGGTCGGGCGCCTTTTGCCGGGCGGGCGGGCGGGACATTGAAGGCAATAATTGCTTGTGTGGTGAATTACACATGGATTCCCTTTGGCAGCGGATTGCAAACTTATTCCTTTGGTCGGGCGGGCGGGCGGGACATTAAATGCATTGATTGCTTTCGTGGCGGATTACAAAGTGATTCCATTTGGCAGCGGATTGCAAGTTGATTACTATTATGGCGGATTACAAGCTGATTCCTTTTGTCGGGCGGGCGGGCGGGACATTAAAGGCATTGCTTGCTTGTGTGGCGGATTACACATACTGAAGGCCCTAGGCTTCCCAAGGATAGGCCCTACTGGACACCCTAGGGTAGCCCTAGGGTACCCCTAGGGGTAGGCCCCAGAGGTAGCCCTAGGGTAGCCCTAGGGGTAGGCCCTAGGGTAGCCCTAGGGTAGCCCTAGGGGTAGGCCCTAGGGGTAGCCCTAGGGTAGCCCTAGGGGTAGGCCCTAGGGGTAGCCCCAGGGTAGCCCTAGGGGTAGGCCTTAGGGTAGCCCTAGGGTAGCCCTAGGGGTAGGCCCTAGGGGTAGCCCTAGGGTAGCCCTAGGGGTAGGCCTAGGGGTAGCCCTAGGGTAGCCCTCCCTTGGGTGATCTATAAGGAATACTTGCAGTGATACATCCCCCGTGTGCTGCCCAGACAAATCACAGCAACGCGAGGAGAAGTGTAACCCGAGGAAGAGTGAAAGCAGGGAGGAGGATAGGGGAAGCTGGACGATGATTTCGGACTGCTTCTACACCACAAGTCCTGCAACGGGTCCTCATTCGAACGTGAATGACCCGCTCTACGGTGGTGAAATCAGACTTTGGCTCGCGTGCTCGCGCGCGTGCGCGTATGCGTGTGCGTGTGCGTCTGCACTTGCGTCTGCGTGTGTATGTGTGTGTGTGCGTATTTGGAGGCGAATGCGTGTACTTGTACTGTGCGCGTTCGAATGTGTGTGTGTGCGTACGTGAGTGTATGTGTTTGCGTGCGTGTGTGGTATATATGTGTGCGTGTGGTGTGTGTGTGAGTGTGTGATTGTCTGTGTGTGTGCCTCTGTGTGTGTGTGTGTGTGTGTGTCAGTGTGTGTATGTGTGGGTGCGTTGGTGCGTGTGTTTGTGTGTGTGTGAGTGTGTGTGTGTGTGTGTGCGCGTGCGCGTGCGTGTGTGTGTGAACGGGTGTGTGAGATTGCGTGCACGCGTGTAGTTTCTTCCAGCAGTCCGTGCACCTGGAGTTCTCTAAGGAAGCGGGCCTGTCTGCCAGTCTGGCGGCTATGTTGCCGCCGCCGTCGCCCTGGCACCGCCTCGTCGTCGCCGCCCGTCGGTTGGGCCGTTCTTCTCGTCTGGCGGCTATGTCGCCGCCGCCGCCACGTCACCGCCGTGTCGCCGCCCGTCGTCTGGGCGTGTGTGCTGGCCTGGCGGCTGCGTTGCCGCCGTGGCCGCCCCATGGGTTGCTCCACATCCGCGTGTTGCTATATATCTCTGTATCTGTATATGTATATCTGTATATACATATATGTGTAAAACGCATTATTTTAAGAATTGTGCTAGAGTCTACGTCCCCCGACTTAGGGGTCCCCCCTTTTTCGTATGGCACCGTACATATACATGTGACCAACCGTCCATCCTGAATATGAGCCCATACCATCCCAGACAGGCTGGTATCGTATCCCCCCCTTCTCACCTACCGCAAGCAACAATATGCGTGCGCATTCTTTTGTCACAGATAATCGGTTCTCATGAATATCTTGCAAGCGACGGAACGAAGTGCGCACGCGCTGGTCGTCGCGCGCGCATGCCGAGATCCTGCAAAATTGAGTGTTCCGAGCACATATAAAAACATGGGGCTTCGCAACAAGAGTGTGCCAACAAAATGCGCTCGCGATTTGCAAATTATTTTGGTGAAGAACTTAGGCTGTTCTCGTGTGTTTAACATAAGTTGCTACCAAACGCGCTTGTCGCGCGCGCATGTCTAAACCGTTCGAACGACCTTGCTCGCGTGCTGTCGCAAGAATCCCTTGCAACAAACAATACGAAATGCACGCGCGTGCGTCTTCGCGCGCGCATGCCGAAATCCTTGCCAATCTTAGTGGGCGCTGGAAGGATTTCAAATTCGAGTGTCCCGGCAACATGTGGGGACAACATGGCTTTGCAACATCAGTTTTCAAGAAAGCTCGCGCTCACGCTTCTGCGAGCATTAAGAAAATGACCGATATTCAACATGTTCATCAGATTCTGCCAGACGGCCCTCTCGCATCGCATGTCGAATTCTGTTGAACGCCCTTGCGCGCGTGCTGGGGGGGCACGATCCGCGCGACATACCAACATGCGGGCCACTCGCGCGTCTGCCGCGCGCGCATGTCGAACTCCTTTCCATAATATGATGCCCGACGCGGGGGCGCCGTCATTGTCGTCGGCGTGATCAGCATCGGCGCCGTCACTGACTATGCCGTCGTCGCTGTCACCATCGTCACCAGCATCGCTACTATCGCCATCGTGTCTACCGTTGTCGACGTTGCCATGATACCGCGCCCGTCAAAGTCGCCGACTCGCACTGAAGTGCCCGCTGGGAAAGTGCCCAGCGGTCAGCGCCACCGCGGCCGCGTCGGTCGCGCCAAACTAGCTGGCAGCTGCGCGCGCGAGCATGCGCGGGCTATCGCGGCCGCAGAGATGAACAACCAACACCAAGCACCCATCGCAATCGTCGCCGCAAGAACCTGCAAGCCAAGTTGCGGGCGGGTGGGTGGGATGCTTGTGCGAGCAGTGGAGCTGGCAACGTTTTTCGATTGAAAAGTAGGAACACCACATGTATTGCTCCACGTAGATTGCACAACGTAGGTTACACAACATTGATCGTTCCTCGTAGAACGCACAACCTATATCACTTTTTCCATACAAGGATATTTGAAAGAGCGTGTTCTACCGCTGCTGGCGGAAAACCGGGGGGGGTCACTACCGGTTCGCACCCCTCCCCCCCCCTTCCGGAAAACCAGGGGGGGGTCCCTACCAGTTCGAACCCCTCCCCCCCCCCACCCAGCTCATCATGAAAAGGCGGGGGGGGTCACCACTGGTTCGAACCCCCCCCCCCACGAACACGAAAACCGGGGGGGTCACTACCGGTTCGAACCCCCCCCCCCTCGAAAACCGAGGGGGGTGCGGACAGTGGTGGGGACGGTGGTGGTGGGGACAGTGGTGAGGGGACAGCGGGACAGTGGTGGGGACAGTGGGACAGTGGTGGGGAGGGTAGTGGTGGGGACAATGGTGAGGACAATGGTGGGAACAGTGGGACAGTGGGACAGTGGTGGGGACGGTGGTGGTGGGGACAGTGGTGTGGGGACAGTGGGAATGTGGTGGAAACAGTGGGACAGTGGAGGGTACAGTGGTGGTGGGGACAGTGGTGAAGGCGGTGGCGAGGACGGCGGTGGGACAATGGGACAGAGGTACAGTGGGGACAGTGGTGGGGACAGTGGGGACAGTGGTGGGAACAGTGGGACAGCTCAGTGGTTCGAACCGGTGGTGACCCCCCCTCCGGTTTTCGAGGGGGGGGGGGTCGAACCGGTAGTGACCCCCCCCGGTTTTCGAGTTCGAGGGGGGGGGGGGTTGAAGGGGTTAGGGGAGGGGGGGGGTTTGCCGGGGGAAGGGGTGGGGGGGGGTTCCAGCAGGGGGGGGGGGAGATTTTCGGGGGGGGGGGGACCCCCGGGCTCCGGAGAAAAAGGGGGGCAATTTTCCACAGTAAAGCGGCGGTGGATCACGCTCTCTCGGATATTTGGATCTACCCTTTGGATTAGCGGTGCACCCTGAGGACGTGCAATTTGCATATGTGACTGCCCCTCTGTTCATTCTGAAAGTATACCCGTACAACCCCAGCCAAGTCGGGCTCGACCGCACCCCCCCCCCGCCACATTTTGTTGCAAGAAACACTGTGCGCGTACACTCGTTTATCACAAATCATCGGTGCCCAAGAAGCCCTTGCAACCATGATGCGAAGTGCACACGCGCGCGTCGTCGCGCGCGCATGTCAGAAATTTCAACAACAAAAGCCCGGCGCCGTAACGATTTCAAAATCTTGTGTTCCGAAACATTGAAAAAGACACACGCGCATGTTGTTGTGCTGTGTTTTAAAGAATCGTGGGCGCACGATCGCGTTTGCACGCGTGCTGGGGGGGCACGACCCTGTCAAATAATACCTTGCGAGCCACTCGTGCCCGTCCGCCGCGCGCGCATGCCAAAATCCTCCCAACACCTTCATCACCGACACGGTGACACCATCATTGTCACCGGCGAGATCAGCATCGGCGCCGTCATGGCCCTTGCCGTCGTCATCGTCATCGTCATCACCAGCATCGTTGCTATCGTCATCGTGTCTGCTTTTGTCGGCGTCGTCATGCTACCGCGCCCGCCCGAGCCACCGACCTGCAGTGAAGCGCCAGCGCGGCTTGCGAGATGCGTTAGAGAGTGCCCAGCGGTCAGCACCACCGCGGTCGCGTCGGTAGCACCAGACTGGCTGGCCGCCTTGCGCGCCAGCCGGCGCGCGCCAGCCCAGCCGCGGCGATGCGCCAGCCAACGCCAAGCAGTCATGGCAATCGCCGTCGCGGGGTGGCTTCTCCTGCGTAATAGAGAAGAGATTCCACCACCCTCCCGGGACCAGACTTGACGCCTCACCCTGAGGATGCGCAGCTTACATACGGGAGGTTCTCAGCCGGCCCGTTTCGCTCGAGGCATCCTTCTAAGTCCGTATCCCGAATGACCAGATCCGAGATGGTCTGGCCCGTTTCGCCTGGAACATCCCCGCATTTTTGGGCGCCCAGATGTGGCGCGAGGGGCGGTCTGGCCCATCTCGCCTGAAACATCCTGGGAATTTGGATATTCGGAGACGCCGTGGCCTGAGGTGGTCACGCCCGTTTCGCTCAAGACATCCTCGCAACCCTGGGATTGGAGATGCCGCCCGCGAGGTGGTCCGGCCTGATTCGCTGGAGACATCCTCGCAGCTCTGGGTGCAGAGATGCCGCGTGCGAGGCCGTCCGGTCAGTTTCGCAGGAGATGTCCTCGCACATTTGGGCACTTGCTGAGGAGGAGTGCGAAGAGAAGGAGGAGGAGGAGGAGGAGGAGGAGGAGGAGGAGGAGGAGGGGGAATGATGGGGAGGAGCAGCGTAGGAGCACGAAGAGGAAGAGGAGGAAGAGGAGGAGGAGGAGGAAGGATAAGACTCGCGCTGTAGTCAGACAAGTGCTTGTGATGCCGGTGATCTCTGCACGCTCCTCGTCGCCGGGGCTGGGCGCGGCTCGGTCGCGCCTCGGGACACGGGCGCCCCGGTGCTCTGCCGCCCAGGGCTGCTTCGCCAGCCCGTGCGCGCCCAGATGGCGGCGGTGTCTCGAAGGACCCGCTGGCCTCAGGAGGTGTGCGCGTTTTTGTTATCAGAGCTGCACGGCCCTGAGGAGGAGGAGGAGGAGGAGGTCAGAGCCCCGAATCATCAGGGGTAACTCGGGTCAGGGCTAACTCGGGTTCGTTTTTCGGGAATCCGAACCCGAGTTGCCCCGGACCCGAGTTACCCCGGATAATTCGGGCGTCCAGAGCCCCACATCATCAGGGGTAACTCGGGTCAGGGCTAACTCGGGTTCCTTTTTCGGGAATCCAAACCCGAGTTACCCCAGACCCGAGGTACCCCGGATAACTCGGGCGCCCAAAGGAGGAGGAGGGGCTGATCTCCCAGATTGCGGTGATGTCTCGAGCGGCCCGTTTGTGTCAGGAGGTGGGCGCGTTTGTGATCAGGGCTGCACGGGCCTCGCTGGCCGTTGTTGTTTGCTCTGGGGCCGATCTGGACCCCATCCATAGGGCTTCCCTTGGCTGGCTGGGGGGGGGGAGCAGGGCACCTGATCCCGGGTTTTCCTGGGTCGCCAGGGGCAGCCCCGGGCGGCCTCGGCAACCCCGACGGCGGTGCTGCAGAGGTGCCGGGCAGGGGGTGCCTTCAAAAGAGCCCGGTGCGCATCATGGCCCACAGAGGCTCTGGCCCGTTTCACTTCAGACATTTTCGGAACCCCGGGCTCCGAGATGTCTTGGCTTGAGATGCTTTGGCCCGTTTTGCCTGAGACATGCTCACAGCTCTGGTTTCAAAGATGTGGTTGCAGAGGTGCTCGGGCCCGTGTCGCCTGAGACATCCTGGGACCCCCTGGCTCCGAGATGCCCTGATTTGATGTGCTCTGGCCCGTTTCGCCTGAGACATCCTCGCACTTGAGGTTCCAAGATGTGGTTCGCGAGGTGCTCAGGCCAGGTTCGCTTGATACATCCTCGGAACCCTTGGCTCCGATAGTTCTGCCCTGACTTGAGGTGCTCTGACCCGTTTGCCTGAGATGCCCTCACGACTTTGGGTCCCAAGATGCGATTCGTGAGGTGCCCAGGCCAGTTTCAATGGAGGCATCCTCGGAAACCCTTCAAGGTGCCCTGACTTGAGGTGCTCTGTCCCATTCCGCCTGAGCCGTCCTCCCAGCTTCAAGTCGGGCCTGTCCCTCTACAGGGGGAGTATTCAAAAATAGTCAAAAAATAGTCAGGGATATTTTTTGTTGTATTTCTTGACCATTTTGGAATATTTCTTGAGTATTTTTTATTTTTCGTCGCAAATCCCCTTGTAGGGGGACAGGCCCGACTGAATCCCAGGTCTGGGTTCCAAGATGCGGTTCTGGAGGTGGCCAGGCCAGTATAGGCTCTGAGATGCCCTGACCTGCTGCACTCTGGCCCGTGTCGCCTGAGACCTCTCGGGGTCCTCGGAAGTCTGGGTCCGATCGCCAGGGCCGGGCGGTCCGGTGGATGCCAGCAGCTCAAAGGTGTCTGCCGCGACGCGATTACACTGCGGGCAGCGCCACAGCTCGAAGCTGCTCAACAAAAGACCACCCGACCGACAGCGCAGTCTGGGAGCACGTTGCCCACCCGCGCGTCACCGAGCGGCGACCGAGCAGCATGGTCTGGGCCGTGAGCGGTGATATAGGAGCCGCAAGGTGTCTCGAGTGCCGACGGGAAGACGAGCAGGCTTAGATGCTCGTGGTGGGGACCGACCTCCTTGGGGTCCACCTGGCGGATCTGCTCGACCCTGCTTCGACCCCAGCTCGACTCCAGTTCGACTCGGGCTCGACGCAGGTTCGACTCGGGTTCGACGCAGGTTCGACGCAAGCTCGACGCCAGTCGGCGGACGTTCGACGCGGCCTCGGCGCGCGAGGGGGGCGCGTGGCTCTCCAGGAGGGTCCCCGGGTTTGAGCACCCACGAGCGGGCGCCGAGGGCCCGAGGGAGCGGGGCCGGAGGGAGGGGGGGGGAGAAGACAGGAACAACCAGCTGCCGGGAAGCGAGCGGGCCCTTGCCCAAAAAAACGAAGGATTGCAAAAAAAAAGGATTGCAAAACAAACGAAGGATTGCAAAACAAAAAAGGATTGCAAAAAAAGGATTGCAAAACAAAGGATTGCAAAACAAAAATTGCAATCCAGGTGATCGTTTTCTCGTTTTACAGTTCCTTGCCTTGCCGATCGGCGCGGGCCCTCGCGACCCCCGCGCTCCCCCCCCCCTCCCCGGCAGAGTGGGCCTTGGGCGTTTCCGGCGCCTGCTGTTCCAGGCAGGTGGAGGCTCCCCCATAGGGCGCACTGTAGCAAGCAGTCGCATTAAGCAGAGGTCCGGAGCGAGACCTCCCCCCCTCACCCCCCCTTCCGCCCATTGCCGAAACGCCGAATAGGAAAAAGTTCACAAGGTTGTCCTGCGAATCAATCCCAGTATTGCCGTATCCTGGCGGACATCCAGGATATTGCCAGAGAAAAGTGCACAAGGGCATCTGATTCAGAGATGTCTAGGGCCTGCAAGCGCTGTCTGTGGAGCTTGCAAACTCGAGAAAGGAGCTTCGCAAGAGCCCCCAAAGCGTTTCGAAGGAACTGCGGGAACGCTCACGGCAAACGTGCTGGGAACGAATGGGAAAACGCCTTCGGGACACGTTGCAAATTTACAAAACAAAAATACGTTGCTAGGCTCATTGCCCAGAATGGAAAGATTCCAGACGCGATTCTGCTCTGCCAGCTTCTAACCTGAAATTCTCGTAGCTCAGGTCTGGGACTTTAGGGCAAGCTGATGTTACAAAGCATGTTTGGCAATCCCCATCGCATTGTTGGAGTATTTCAATGTTTATTTGCAACGTGCATTATCGGATGATGTTCTGTGAATTCCAATAGTTTCATGGTTTTGCGCACCTTAGCGGTGGTGGAGCCATATCAATATATACGCTTCGCGTTTCGCCGCTTCTCTTTGTGTTCCAGGCTGAGCGGCCCATGAGATGGCCCGTTTCCCCGTCTTTCGGCTGCACGGTTTGGTCAGCGTCGTGGTTCCTCGTCCTTCTTCCTCATGCCATTCCTCTTTCTCCCCCCATTGCCCTCCCCTCGTTCCGGAATGATCAAACATCCGAGCACAAAAATTGAAACAAGCCCTCCTCCTCGTTTTTCCTTTGAAACCACTTCCGCCGCCCGTCATGTCACACCAGCTACACGCTGCGAGTCCCAAGTCCTCTTTCCCCCTCCCCTGTCTCCCAGCGTCGCGCGCTGTTCGTGTCCGTGGAAGCGGAGGAGCACAGGCAGCTGTGGATGCAGAGCGATCTCGCGAACGCTTGGGCGCTGCACTCGCCGCCGGCGCGCCCCAGGGCGCATGGTCTTGCCCCTTGCGTCTCGTCTCCCGGCGTCGCCATGATGCCCGTGACACGGGCCCTGGGGCGCATGGTCTTGCCTCTTGCATCTCGTCTCCCGGCGTCGCCATGATTCAGCGAGCGAAGAACGGTATAACATAATTTTTTTCGCTGTCGGGGGCGCCCGTCATTCGCCCGTTAAATGCCGTTCTTCGCCCGTTCAATGATGCCCGTGACACGGGCCCGCGGGGATCTCCGCCCCCTCTCCCCCGGGGTGGCCAGGTGCTCCTCCCGCGCCGCTCTGGTCGCGGCCCCCCTTCGCCGGGAGGCGGGCTCCGTGGAGCCGAGTCCTCCTCCTCCTCCTCCTCCTCCTCCTCCTCCTCCTCCTCCTCATCCTCCTCCGCCTCCTCCGCCTCCTCCTCCTCCTCCTCCTCCGAAAGAGCCGCCGCGGCACCTGCTCGGTGCGTCGGGGGCAGCTCGGGGCTCCCAGCCCCCCGGAGGGGGCCCTTCTGTCCATCCGCTCGCATAGCGCACGACAGGGCGCACACTGTAGAGTATCGTGTTAAGTCGTGCATGCCCGTCCCTCTACGGGAGGAGAAGTCAAGAATGTTGAAAAGCAATAGTCTGGTGACGATTTGTCGTGCTCTTTTGACTCTGCTTGAGCATCTTTTGATTATGTTCGTTTTTCCTAAAAGTCCGCCTGTAGGAGGACTTGCCTGACCTGAACTCCGGGCCGTTTTTCAGTTCTACAGTACAGACACACGATACAAAGCACCCGTGTGGAAAATCACGGGGACCATTGTTCGCCGACCTTTGAGGGCCCCCAGGGTGCCCTAGAGTTTCTGGGTCTCTGGGGCCATCGGTGGACAGGATACTTCCGCGGGGCCACTGCTGGCAGGCAGATTTTTCATTTGATGCGCCGAGGGTGGGTCGGGGGACCCATTCGTGATCGGGGCTCGCCGTGCCCAGGAAATCCCTTTCGCTCTCTCTTGTGAAGGCCCAGCGGCCGGTGCCGCCGACCTTGGAAGGCAGGACCATCCGGGGACCCCCCGGTGGCGGCCCCCCTCCAGGGCCCGCCAGGACCAGCATGAGGGGCGGCTCTTCTCATTCTGACCCGGGACCCCCCCACACCCCCTCCCCTCCCCACCCCCATCACCCCTGCCACTCCCCCCCCCCCCCCCTCCCCCCCCCCCCCCCCCCCCGCCCCCGCCTCCCCCCCCCCACCCCCCCCCAGCACTGGAGGGAAAGAGGACGGGGCCTCTCTCCGGCTTCACTGCGACGTTTCTTCCCTTGTGTCCCGATTTCCTTGTGGGGGTAACGGCGACGACGGCGACGACACCAACTCAAAGGGAAGAGCGATTCACCACACGCCGAAAGGTCGGCGGATTGGGAGCGTGCTGGGAAGGGCCACGTCTTCGAGGGTCGAAGGAGTTGGGTCTGTCTTCCTCGGCGGAGGCTGGCGGAGGGCAGCGGGAGCGAAGCCCGGGGCAGCTCCGCCAGCGGAGGCGGACGGAAGCAAAGGCTGTATTCCCAAGAGTTGCCAACTGTTTTGGTTCCAGGGTGTCTGGAGCGTGCTATTCCACGTTATGATGCTCCAACCTACTTTAGCCTTGATCACCCGCAAGAATCTCGAGCGCCAGAAAAAGTGCCGAAGCTCAAGGGTTTTCACGTGTCGGGCCCTGGGAGACACTCGCCCGACACTGTTTCGACACTGTTTCGACTCTTTGGACACTTTTCCGGGTGCTCGAAAGTAGTTCTGGGATGTGGTCTTTAAGTAGGACGGGAACACCATAAATCGACCTTACCTTTTG